CACAATGAGGAAGTCACGCTTCTTCCAAGTGCGCACAACACTGCGTGGGACGTACTGCAGGGACTTACTGTCAAACAGGGCGTGTGAGCTGCGAGGATTCGTCACAGTGTCTTTAGCGGGTACACCGTGTGGAAGATTACGGGGACGAAGCCGAGATCTAACCTCAATGTACTGGAATCCAGCAACAAAGATGAGAAGGGAGACGCAACACACACATATACGAATCGTATTCTGTAGGCGACGGTGTGCCATGACCGATGGGAACTACTATAAAAAGAGGATCGCGAGGTAAAAAGAAGGTACACCAGTTTATAGCAGCAAGGATGGGAACCAGGGTCCCAGCACCAGCAGCAGTAGCAGCAAGTCAAACAGAGAACACCTTAGTCACAGCCATTAAGCTGGCGTCAGAGGTACCACCTTCGAGGAATAAAAGTGACGGTTGTGGATAAACAACATAGTAAAGCAATCATGTAGGTGAATACGAAAGCAAAGCATAGTATAGAAGCAATACTCTTAAGCATTAAAAGGAAGTTAGGTGGCCAGATGGGGTTATAAAACATGATTAAAGCAGACACATCCGGTGGTGCCTTTTGTATTTTGTTAACGCCGCAATCTAAGGGCTCCCTCCCTCCGTCACTTCCACACGCTCATTCTGTTCCTTATACCTTTGCCAAATATATGCATCATAGTGAAGTATTTATTTTCATGTGGCACATGAAAAAAAAAAAAGACACTGGCATCACAAGAAGGCGTCCTTCACCATTATGGGCATTATGGAACCGGCTCCGGCAATCCTCCACAGCCACCAGTGCTGGGTATCGCACCTCCAGCCGCAATTCCTGCCCCACCATCACGTCGTCATGCTGCGTGTTATAAAAGCGATAGCCGTTCAATCGTTGTTTCGTATAAGGTGAATACACCAGCCGTCGCACAGGCTCAAACAACACAAGCTGCTGCACCACATCCCTCGCAAGAGTGAAGCACATCCCCATAAAGTAATCATATTGGTGAGTAACATTCCCCTTTCGCACAGTGCTGTTGACAGGTCCCCCCAAAACACCCCTCTGCGCGGCAGTGAGCGCAGGTCGGCGAGGTACTGCGGCACGCGCAGGAACATGTCGTCGTCACGCTTCGCGAAGTATGTTACAGTCGGGAACAGCCGCAGCGCCATGTCGAACCAC